CGCAAAAACTCTGTATCTTCCCAGGGAGTCGCAAGAGGGGCACGGTAAACTCATAGCATGCCTATCTGCCTTCTTCCCAGTTAGACACAGCATCCGACTGCTTGGATGTTTAGGGTAGCGAGGACCACCTGTGTTTCCCACAGGCTGATGAAGGACTTAACTAATAGTAATACACCACCACCTTGTCTGCCGTCTACCCTATCCTACCGGTAACTAGTATATCTCCTTAGACCGGCTAGAACTTGAAACCAGGATTCTGTGATAACGACTGTTTCGGATCCCTGGGAGCGTGCTGCAATCGCGCCTCATTTTCCTCGGACACTACAAGCCTTAGTATACCAGACTGCCAGACTGTCCGCTTGTAGCTGTTCCGACTGCGGTCCTTTTATACTATTGGAGTCCTTGAGCGTAATACCCAAGGGATAACCCCGTTTTTGCTGTTGTGTAACAGCTGGAGGCAGTCTTCGTTATCAAAGATATGCCGCCTTTAGATCTACCCAGTCGGCTGACTTGGATGCCTGCGGCGTGACGTTTTTGATGAACTCTAGTTCCTCGCGTCCAGGACTGGTGTTTGTGCCCAATACTGACCGGTGTTTTGGTGTATTCCCTACTACTGTTGTTCAGCTGTGCTCTTCAGACACCCTTTCGTGGGAGGGGGTTCCTTGCGCTCCGTTCCCGAGATTATCGTTCTCTGAAGAAACGGATTTCTGTGCTACGGGTTTTAGTTTTGCAGCAGCTGCGGAGCTGGAAGTGGTGGTTGTTTTCTTTGCACCAACTGCTTTCGTTTCGCTACACATCAACCCTCGCAAGGGAGTCCTTTAGGTTTTGGTGTTGATTTACTCAACTCTTGCTGTCCGTGTGTGTCCTTTGGTGTGCATACCTGACCTTGGGTCTTCGTTGAGTTAGACGCCGATTTAGGTTTTATGGGCGCCCCTATCCTTTATAGCCTAACTGCTGCATTCTTTAACGGCCCTACTTCCTGCCCACTGATTGGTGGATAGTTGGTTCCACGGATAAACGTACCATTATCTGGGGTGATAATTATGCCACCTCTGATAATGTTTTCTATTGCCGCTGCTCTGAACAATAGGCGGTGCCTCGCATACAGGCTCGTGAGGATAAGAAATATAGGTCGGACTTGGAGGGCCCTTTCACCTCCCCATAGTCTCACCCTAAGACACTTTATAATTTTCGTCATGGTAGGCAATCCCGCTAGCCTAAGCACGGTCTGCACATACTTCCAGTCCGCTTCGTGCCGAGACTTGGAGTCTCTAATTACGGGCTCCCGCAGTTATGCAGAATTATGTTCTTATCCCTTCTTAGGATTGATAAATTTATTTTCATTCAGGAGTTCCAGCTCGTTTTCAAGGCGTTCTAACCTGGTATTTTTACTTGCCATACTCTCTGCGTTCCTCTCTTGAACTACTGCGGTAGGTTTCCCTTTCGTTTTTGCATCTGGTTCTCTGTTTTCCTTACGGTTTGCTTTCTTACTTTTGGACACCCGGGGTTTCGTCTCTTTAGGCTGATCCGACTGATGTTGCCCACCGCTTTTTCTCTGAGGATGCGTGAGCATTTTCCTATCAAGGCTATATAGTGGAAACAGATTCATCTCAGGAATCTCTGTATCGTGTATAGGTTGTAGCACTTCTTCGTCACCTTACTACGGCGTTTATGATACCAAAGATGGCACCGTTCGCAGTGAATATCCTCATTCTCATACTCTCCACAGCCGACACACGCAGTTACCTCAGTACATGAAGACATTTGAAAGGCGGGAAATGTTTAAAAATTTAACACCGATAAAAATGACTACTTTCAAAACTGGAAAAAAAGAAAAAAGGAACACAGATGTACGACATAAAACAGTAAAGAAAACTGTTTACACAAAACGAATTACTACCGACGAACTTCGTAAAATTGAGTGACCTGTGTTCTATCACTGAATTATAAATAGTGCTTTGGTTTAACCCAGGCAGTGTATAATAAGTGAAATACCGGTAGGTATTTCATTTGAATAGCATAAATAGTTTACAGCAGAGAGCACGTCAAATTTCATACCGCGCGCTGGGTACGTTCCGTCAAAAGCTTGATGGGGAGCGATAAACTACCCCAAGCAGGAATGAGTTTCTGCTCGGGAAGACGATGTTGATCCATGGGGTTTCAATCGATTATATGGTATAAAGGGAAATACGCGAAGTTGGTGGGAGGGAATTTTTGAGGAAGAGAGCCACTTCACCCGTCCTGTCTGAACAAGTTAAAACCATCTATCATTATTTCGTCACCCAGTATCTCTTGATTAAGCCACGTCTCAGTTAGGGCTATTACGTGTGGCTTCTTTTCGCGCGCCGATTTCCGCAGTTCAAGGATTTTATTAGTTATAGTGAGGCAATTGGTTGATAAACACTTCAGCACCTGCTAACTATATATTTCAGCAGGTCTAGTAGGATGACAGTGGCGTCGGGGGAGTTTTGGAGTAAAGTTATTTCGACCTCACCAGGTTGCTTATTACATTTTATCACATGAAGAGGAATGCCGCGGGCTAAACCTAATTGGATCTCTTGGTTATATTTGCTTGAGCAGGACAGTGTCACACTTTTGCGCTTTGGCTGAACTCGACCACGATACCTTTGTCTTTGTTCAAAGATATGAATACCTCATTAGGTTCAGGATCTCTAGCAATTTAGTGCTGTCGGGGAGTATCTTGACCCTTTGAGCTGGAGGTCTTCCCGCTGGAAACCCTCCCAGGGTTATCATGCGTTTACTGCATACCTCTGTCTTAGACAGCTTATTGGCGGTGTCTAAAATGACTGGTCAGAGAACTTGAGGGTGTTTTGTTGGCTGTAATTTGGGTAGAGAGACCTACAAGTAGTGCCTTCTTTTCCACCAACTCAGCCTCCAGTTTGCCAACGTTCGTCTTTAGACTTAAGATTGCCTCGCTCCTCGATAAGATTATCCTGTTTTGTATCACCGGAATAGCGTTTTTTACCGTGTTGTCGAGACACATAGGTAGCACTTTTAGATGCAAGAAACGAATTTTCGGTGTCACCACTCAAAATTTTCAACCACACGCCAACTCACCGAAACCTTGACCTTGGGCCTCAAACCAGCCGGAGACATTGGATATCCCAGGAGTCAGTATCCCTGATGGAGAAAAAACGACAAATCCCGGCCTGCCAGGATCAAAATAGATTAGGGTGACATTTACAACGTCAGCTCACAAAGAGCCTCAAGAAGGACTGTGAGAACTGGTGGGCAACAATAGCTAGTGAATTGGAAGTGGCAACTGCATCAAAGAATAATCAAAGACTTTTTCGACTATTACGGAATACGGGAAGTCAGTTAGCTGCAATAAGTGAAACGGTCTGCGATAAGGGGGAATGAGCTATTCACAGTAGGAATCAACGACTCGATCGCTGGACAGAATACTTCAACGAACAGTTCAGCTGGCCTAGTGCTAACCAGGCTGCTTTATCTTCAACTGAAGCTCCGTGGGCAGTGCCATGCTATCCTGCAACGGAAGCAGAAGTTCGGACTTGCATTCATCTCTGAAGGGAGAAAAGGAACCAAGACCGAATGAGCTTCCTCCCACTCATTTCAAGATGTGGGATGATCACCTCGTCACCTCTATTACTACCATACTGCGGAACATTTGGACGCAAGAGCGCATTCCTTCATCTTTGGGCAAATCACCGTTCGTTCCCATTTTCAAGAAAGGGATCAGTTTGATGTTCACTATCACCAAAGTTCTGGCTCCGGTTATACATCGACATCTGACGCCCTTAACAGAGACCAAAATCCGTGAACAGCAAGCCGGATTCCTGCCTGGCCGTGGACGTATTGATCAAATGTTTACGTTGCGTCAAATCCCTGAGTTGTGTCACACCGGCCGTGTGTTGCTTGATCTCAAACGAGCCTTGGAACAGTTGGCCGTGAAGCGCTGATGAGCTCCATTCTCCCAGAAGGAATGCTCCAGAAGTACGTTAGCCTACTGAGGTCACTGTACTCACATACCTCCGGTCGTATAAGAGTTTACAACGAACTAATTAGGCCGTTCGTCACCAGAAGCGGCGTTCGTCAAGGGTACTCTTTTTTTGGCGTTCCTGTTCAATTTCGTCTTATACGAAATACTGCAGAACGCACTAAGGGGACTCCAAAACGTAGGTATTTAATGAGCAGCTGGAGAAAAGCTGCGTGATTCTGAGTGCGACGATGATATCGTCTGTCCGTTCGAATGTATGGAGGACGCGCAAGGCGTACTTGATAGACTAACAAGTGCAGTAGCCACATTCGTTGTGTGCTTTTCACCTTTAAAGTGCAAACTGATGCTGCAGGACTGAGTTTCGTCTGCTCTGAAGCCAAATGGCCAGGATTGAGTTATGGTGAGTTACTTTTCCTACTTAGGTAGTTACGTAACCAATGACGGTAACGCAGCAAACGAGATAACGGCCCGAATTTCCAAGGCTAGAGCAGCGTACACAGGACTGAAACACCTTTGGCGTAGAAGCAACGTTGCCCTGAAGTTGAAAGGTTGTGTATATCGTGCTACTTTTCGTTCAGTTCTGC